ACACTCACTAGCACTGATGATGTTACCTAATTGGGTAATGAAACGTCTGCAAGCAAACAACCAAGCTCAGAGAGCACCAAGGACTCTCCAAGTCTGCAATCACTGAAAATCAATGGCCCAAAGACTCAATCCGATATTCCTAAAAGATACCATGATTAGTGGCATCAAAAGTAGCTGAGAAGTCCCGCAAAAGTAATATGTATGGCTAACTCTATTTAATTTCTACTACTATTTAAAATCTACTACTGCAACAGTACCCAAAGCAGTCTTATTACTATAGCTAGGTAAATGCTTGATTGAAATGGGCCCTAGTCAATATTATACAACTGCAACTGGAGTTGCAAAGCCACCATTTTCTCAATAATCCCATCCAAAAATTGAATGTTTTTGATTGGCTTGTAATCACATAGATCGCCTGGGTCAAGGAAAAACCTCTTCAATACAAGTCTTTCAACCACTTCATTTAAGTGAGGGGAACACATCCCATCAACAAAGAGGCACTGATCATCTCCTTTAACCCTGGGGACAATCATCCTGGCCAGTTTAATCAGCCAGGAAAGAGAAAGATTGAGTCAGCTTACACTGGTACATAGCTCTAACTTCTCTTGATCTTTACTGAGAGATGACAGACTTCTTTGAATCTTGAAAAATTAGAAAATTCAACATAAGCAATGGCAAATCTAAGATGTTGTTCAGCACCCTCAGCAAATGGTTTTTGAATGCTTATATTATTGAATCTTGGGCAATAGCAGTTGATTTTAATGGTTATTTTGCCTTTCAGAATGCAGACCTTAGGTCACCACTTAGCATAGTGGAACATATAGTGTGCTCCATGGTCTCCAGAGGGTCCAAAGGGACTGCCACAAAGTCTCAGTTAGGTGTCGGTTTGGGGTCCACCACATTCTATAGAAATCCACCACACTTTCCAAACTGTACACACATACTACTCCCTGCTGTGACTATTTGCTACAGCAGGTAGAAACTGAACCTTATAAGTTTCATAAGATGCTAATCTACAAATATTTTACTGAAACATTCTCATGCTTCTCCTGTTTAATAGAATGTTCCTGATTTTTGTGTTAGTGTTCTGTAATTATCCAGGTATATTCAATTAAATGGGCTTAAAAGTTTTTTTAAGCAAAAATGCTTAGAATTATACTCATTGAGGTTCACAAATAAGTAATTCTCCAGTCCTATGGCCATGAACTGGATGATCAGAACTGGATGATCAGAACTGAAAAAATATTATCATATTAAAAGTTAACTTAATGAAACAAGTAGGCAGTATTTTCCCTCCCACTTTCAGTCCTTCCTTTAGAATAACATTTGTAGAAGATAATTAGTACAAATGTAGTATTTTTGTTTGTTATCTAATATCCATGCACACTACAACACCTTTTTTTTCAAAATAAAGGGAGAAAATGTCCTTGAGTTTAGAAAACTCTGTGTGTGTGTGTGTGTGTGTGTGTGTGTGCATGTGCGTGTCTAGGAAAAAGGGAAAATGGCAGGAATTGTAGGGAACATGACAGCCTGTTCAAAGAGAATTATTTTCAACTTTCTATTTCTGAAACTGCTCCATAATAGAGATCAGGAAGCCTCAAAGGTAAAGTTGTAACATAATTTATCCTTGGAGATTTTAAAAACTGGGAAATCAATGTTATGAAAGTGTTGTTTCTGGTTTAGACTCAGCCAGGTTACAAGGCACTTTTTAGAACTTGGCAACTAATATGTCTGGAGACTTAAATGAAGATTTTTGCTGTGATAACAGCATACCTGTAGATTAGGAAATGTTGTTTTCCAAGAAAGATACTTTCTTGTAGCTTTTGAATTATATTTGCAGTTGACTTCTGATCAAAAAATGGTCTGTTAATACTTGTTATTGTGGAGCGGTGAACATTGATCACTGCATATTAAAACAGATTTCAAAATGTATATTGAATAATTTCAAAACATGATGTCCTTTTTAAATATAAAGCAACTATGCATTAGGTAAATTTATAACCTTTTTTAGGCAAATCACACTTAATATTCTAGGAGGGAACGATAGACTCCATGAAGAAAAATTAATTCAAGCAGCAGGAGCTTTTCAGCAGCTTCAGAATGCATATATTGGTTGCCTTTAAAAATAGGTTTCTTTTCTACTTGTTTTTGCAAATATACATACAGTAGATACAGGTATGTGACCCTTGTATCCTCGTTATATTTTCATTTTTATTGTGCACTGATAACAATACTAACATATTATAGCTATATAGATCTACACGAGCTGTCTGTCTGATTGGGGGATGAGATCAAAAATCTTCTTTCTATGTATGGGGAAAGGGGTCCTTCCATCTGACATCTGATTCAGGAGAGGAATTGTGCTAGGAGAATGGAGAAGAGCATTGTGGATTCTCCCTCTTCCAGAATGGTTGGGAAGGTGATGCTGGAAGCTACAGTGTGAGATCCCCATTTTCTGTGTGTGTGGATACACAGAGATATACAGAGAAAGTGAGACACATTCACATAGTCTTTATAGCTCCATGCATCTCATCAATTTCTACATTTTCCCCTGATGGTCAAATAAGCAAATCTTTAAGCTTATTTGATCTGATAGATCCTTTTTGTTATACAGCATCAAGTGTTTTCCAGTGAAATAATATCATACATGTATTATTTATAACACAAATATTTTATTCTGCTTAGGGACATTAAAAACTCTAAGTGAAAGCCACCTTTAACATTCAGCGATGAAAATCATGAGTTTTTTTGAATAGAAAGTGGTACTTTCCTTTGAATGTGGGCATTCCCCTGAATGACAACTTTCCCTTTAGTGACTGACAGCATCTTTTAGAGTCATCTGTCCATCCTTATGCCAGAATAGCACTGACAAGGGCAGGTTTTATGTTACTTCAACAGCTGCTGGGTGAAGTTATTAAAGGGTGTGCACTTTTGTGAGAGAACTTGCAGCTCGCTTCATCAGATGCACAGAGCGGCTAGACTTACATAGGATTAGACATGCGTCTAGCCACTCCATGCATCATCAAGTTGCCAAGGTTGAGAAGCACTGATATATGTTATTGGTGGGGTATGGAGAAATGGCCAAAGGGTGCCTATCCAAGCCTTTGTCTGTGAATATTGCCTTTTTATTTCAAGCGAGCTTCTTCCAATGAGCTCCGGGAACTATCGTGGCTTGTCCTAGTTTGGGTGCTTAAAGTCAGAAATGTCTTTAGTTGTATATCATACATAGCCTTTTCTTGTTCTCACCTAACGCCTATTTCTTTGTCTGGATAATTCAGGAAATCCAGTGGTTATTAATAGGCTTATGCAATGTGTAGTTAACTCACTTATATATTTGTAGTTAAAGCATCACCAGCCCTCATTGTTATCCTTGCTGGAAATTTTCTGTAGGAATTGTGAGCATTAAGCCTTTAGGATCACCTTTTTATTATACACTTTTAATTAATAGTTATCTATTTCCCCTTGAGAAAGTTTGCCTCTGCATCCATGAAGACTAGTGCTGAAAAAGTATGGTTTTGCTAGGTAGGGATTGTAAGTAGTATGAGTACTGCAGTCCCAAACATCTGGAAACCTGAGCTGGGGACACCATAGAGGCAGACTAAGACCCTGAGTGCATGGATGAAGCATTTAGAAGTTCTGCTGCCCAGAAAAATGTGAGGGAGGAAAAAGACCCTTCTGAAATTGAGGAGTTTGGATTGTCTCCATGTTTGTCCTTTGACTCCAAATAGTCAACTTTTACAGTTTGGGCATTGGCTACATTCATATCAACCAGACTTCCCCAGAAGGGTGCCTTCCGTAATTCCACGTTGCTTGGGAATTTTGTAAGTAGAAGTCCAAAGACATCTGGAGGACATGACCTTAATAAGACATTGATATCAAACAAACTGGATGGGGATCCCACCACCGTGGGAAACGTACTATAAGAAAAGAAGCCATTCTAAAGGTATTTTATTTCAGCATTTTATTTTCCCCACTCTTAAGATTGGTGAGTTAACCTAAATGTTGAATCAATTCTAGCGCACCATATTCTCTTCTTGAATCTTTACAAAAAATCCAGACAAATAACGGAGGGATGGAGAAGGAAAACACAACATCTTGGATGGAATTTGTTCTTGTTGGACTTCAGCATCAGACGTCACCCACCATTTTTCTTGGTTTGATCCTCTTCATGTTTGTTATTGCTCTATTTGGAAACACGCTTCTTCTGTTTTTAATTAAAATGAGCTCCAGTCTTCAGACACCAATGTATTATTTCCTCAGTCAGTTAGCTTTTATGGACCTTTGTCAAATTCTCTCAATTGTTCCTCAAATGACGTTCCATTTTGTAAGCCAAAGATATACTATTTCGCTTTACCGATGTGTTTTTCAGATTTTTGTCACATTACTTATGGGAGGATCAGAGTGCCTGATCCTTGCAGCTATGTCCTATGACAGGTATGTGGCTGTTTGTAGACCTTTACAGTATCCAAACCTTATGAGGAACAAAATCTGCAACATCATATCAGTAGCTGCCTGGTTTTGGTCTTCTGTGCAGGCATTGAACTGTTCCCTTTATGTCCTGCCTCTTCCCTACTGCAAGTCCAACGTGATTAGCCATATTGCTTGTGAGTATACAGCCCTCATACAGCTGTCTTGTTCGGACAATTCTGCATTTGAAAGATCAGTATACCTTGGAACTTTCCTGGTCTTTCTCATCCCTATCTCAGTCATCCTTCTTTCCTACATGGCCATTCTCTTGCAAGTCCTGAGGTTGTGTTCCTCTGAAAGGAGCCACAAGGCCTTGGGGACTTGTTTGTCCCACTTGTGTGTGGTGGGCCTCTTCTATGGAGCAGCCATTTTGACCTACATGACACCCATCTCTTCCTATTCAGCACAAAAGGCCATGATAAATTCCCTTTTTACTACCATCATTCCTGCCATGATGAACCCTTTCATCTACAGCCTGAGGAACCGGGACGTCTTGGTAGCCCTGAGGAAACTCTTCGCAAAATGTATGTCAACTGCTATGAATGAGGCTGTGGGAGAAAGAAGTTAACTAGTATGCTTCTTTGGGGACCTAGTGGCCATTTCCAGTATTTATAACGAAAAATGTCATCAAAACATTGGTCGAAATATATTTTAATTTTAAATTGAAATTGGAAATGGACAGAAGTACTGGAAAAGATAGCGGTGCAATATATGACTATTGGTTGGTCACTTTTTCATTTCTTTTGGCTCATATGATATTTAGTTGGATGCTTGCAGCTATTTCTTTATTCTAGCCCTGTATCTGACTTTTTGGGGATAATAAAGATGGCTTCTTATGATACAGAATTATTGCAAGGACTCCTATAATAATGTATCTGAAGTGCTCTGAACACACTAAAGCACACACACACACACACACACACACACACACACACATATACTGTATATTCATATCATATCCATTGCCTAATAACATAA